AAAAGAAAAATTAGAAAGAGGTGATGGTGAAGCAGAATAGGGTCGTCGTGATATCTGGCTACTTCCTGCTGGCATGGGGGAGCATGTCTTTAGGGGGAACCTAGAAGAATGGGTATGGGGGATATTTGTCCGGTCTTAGGAGAGTTGGCTGTTTTCTGATGTCCAGGGTCTGTGGAGCCATCTGAGGATAGGCCAGAAGGAACAGGTCCAGGAGAAGCAGCTGTGTGTGTGGAAGGAGATGAAATATCTGGAGGTTGTTTCTCTGGAGCTGTTCTGGATGTGCCTGGACTTGACAAGATGTAGGGAATAAGATTAAGTACATTTGGGAGAAAGAAATTTTTTCTAAGATGTACATTTGAAACCCAGAGGGATCCCACCCTTTGTAATAGGTAATAAGTGGGAACTTTAGGTAGATGTACTTATCTGGATGATGTCTATTTGGTCCATGAGAGGTTGATCTGAGTGGATTTCCTGTAGTTTATAAATTTACAAAAGAGATAACAGCATGAGTTAACAACACAAACAGTCTTTAAGATGAGCCTTTGTTGGATCATATAGTGAAATGTTTTATTAGATTAGGCAAGTTTATAGGAACTCAGATAATTTAGGACAGTAGGATAGCAAGAAGAGGAAATATGAAGCATTTAATTGATGGCAACTGAGTTTACGTAATGAGGTAACAGATAATATCTGTGGAAGCTTAGCTGTCAATGTAGTCAGGAGGCTGAGAAAGAGTAAACAATAATCTACCAGTTATATATTATTTTAAAAAATGACAGAGTCCACTAGCCAACAGTTCCCGTGGTCTCCATAGTCTCTTGGGTGAAGTCAGTTTGGCTTCCAAGCATAGAAGATGCAGGGCTTTTTTTTTTCTGTGGAATGGATACACGTGACATGAGAAATGACCTACCTTGGTTTAGCCAAGTCATTTGACTCAGAGCATCCAGTTTAGTCCACTGTGTTTGTTAGCATACAATCCAGGCTGTATCTTCTAGGAGTCTGGTGTCCAAGTCTTCTGAAACCATCTTGGGTCAACTGTTAGAGGATTTGGGAATTCTGTCAGCCATTAACTTAAAAAATACTATTAGTAGACTTCTGACAATATTGAGAGCCATAAGGATTGGTTGTAACTGAATAGAATTTAATAGAAATAGTAAAAATCTATTAAGACAGAACCTCTCCTATCTTGTCTTAAGTAACTTTGGTGGACTGTGTAGGCAGAGAAAAGCACATTTTTGTATTAGCAAAGAAACATTTGGCTAGGACCAGAATAAGAAAGCTGGCAACAGTGGCATAGGATTGTACAGCTGGCAGCTTGGAGCTGTGAGCCATAGGTGCTGCAGGTCAGGTCTGTGGGCCGGACTTCCTACTAGTGGCCGGAAGTCATTGCCCAGTGTCTCTGGCAGCTGCAGTGAGCAAGGAAAAGCAAGCATGTCCAGTATCACAGCAATGTTCATGTTAGTTGTTTTTGTGGCAGAAGTCACAGCTAACACTCACTTTATAGGTCCCGGGCAGAGAGGGAGAAGGAGCGCCTTTCTCGAATGCTCAAGCAGCCAAACCCTTTGTGCGGGTGGTTGTGCATGTGGGGAAGCAAGTCTCAGAGAGGGTCCCTGGCAGGATGCAAAGAGTAGGCCCAGAGCAGAGCTAAGAACCACAGAGGGGAAGGGAGCAAGCCAGGTGCCGAACGCACTGCTTTTCAGGCAAGCCAGTGTAATGAAATGGGTCCAGTTGGCCCACAAATGACAGAGGAGGCGAAGGGGGGAAGGGAGCAAGCAAGCTCCTGGACCGCTGCTTTTCAGGCAAACTGGCTGTACTAAGTGGGTCCAGGCGGCCACAGATGATGGAGGAGGAGGGGGAGTCCTAGAATGAGGGTCAGGGAAGCACAGGGTTAGTTCCAAACTCAAGAAATCTTTCCTGGGGCCATGTGGATGGTTACTCTGACCAGCCAAGGAATGGCAGAGACCACTACTGCACAGAAAGCTGACCCAGCCATGGCAGACCAAGTGGGGAGGGGGTGAACAAGTAGAACACAAAGAGTTATTAGAATGAAGTTAGATAAATGCTTGGATATAGGGAATTTCTTTCCATTTATCAGACTGCTGGCAGTATGTGTTAAGACCCTTTAAAATAATTGGGTCTAACATACCATGAAGTGACCACTTTAGTCCATTATCTAGAGGGTACCGAGTCTAGACCTTATTGCAGAGGTGTATCAATTTGGAAGGCCTCAAATCAGGAGTTAATTTTAGATATTTGAGGTTTTTCAGGAGACAACACAGTGGGGTGTCTGCAGGTACAGTCGAAGACAATGTGGTGCCCACTGGGTGATGGGGGCTGTTACCAGAGCTATTCTATTGGCATCCTGAAAGAAAAGTTGGCAATGAAAAATCAACCAAACAGCCTAGATATCAGGTCATCATGAGAATATCTAGGGGCCTCAGCAGAACTCCTGGAGCTCACCAGAAAGTATCCCACCTGATACCAGGATTTCCAGCAGCTTCGAGAACTTGGGGGGAGCTGGGAACTACTTTCAAGGGGGGAAATCACCCAACGGCCAATGTCCTAAGTCGCAGGTCAGCTAGCGGCCAGTCATATGGACTGGGGCAATGAAAAGCCAACCCTTTAGCCTAGGGAAGGCTGGCCCAGCCCCTATCTGGGCGTCCAGGGTCCCTCCCACCAGTTGGAAACTCCTTACCAATTAATAAGCCAGTGTGTGTTTGTGGGATTGTGCAGTCTGGTATCAGGAAAGGTGGAACCATGAGGTCTGTGTAGGCCAGGCCTGTCTGGCTGCCCAGTCCATGTGGCAGAGCACCATGTGAGGGCTGCAGTGGCACAGCTCACATGATGGAAGTTTTGTGAGCCTTGCAGTTGTAGCAGTGGTGGAAATTTACACAGTCTGTGATGGCAGGTAGCAGCAGATGGAGTCCGCATGGTGTAGCGGTGGGAGCAGCAGGCAGTGGGGTTGTGGCAGGCCGAATGGCGTTGGTTCTGCAGGGTCACAGCAGCCTCACAGCAGCCAGCTGCAGTTGTCGGTGGCAGCATGGGTATCAAGGTTCCTGAAGTCTTTGTTTCTGGATTTTGGCACCAGTGTTGTGTTGCCAGATAACTGGTGGGGAGGAGCATGCCTGGCTGTTGACAGATAACTGTGGAGGAAGAGTTTAGACAGAACACTAACACATAAGTCTTAGGTGTGTGCTCACCGAGTCTCCAAGTCTCAGCCTGCTCTGCCTTACCAAACTTCCAGGCATGGTTTTTACCATCCAATCTCTGTGTGTGTATGTGTGTGTTTGTGTGTTTCTTTTTCTGTGTGTGTATGGCTGTCCCTCTGTGTGTGTCTCTCTCTCCCCTCCCCCTTTCACCTCTTCTTTCTTCCTCTGTGTGTCTTTCTCTGTCTCTCTGTATGTCAGTGTGTCACCCTTCATGTGTCCCTGTCTCTGTCTCTTCCCCTTCCCCCTCTCTCCTTTCCACCCTAATCCAGAGGCCTCTGTCTTTCCCCTTCCACACACTTGTTCATATGAAATTGTAGCTCCTACTTGGTTTTGAAATAGAAAACCTGACTACAATGAAACATATATCACTAGGGTTTCAAGGTGGGAATGGAAGCCATTTATGTCTGTCCTCCTACTTCACCAGAAAGTCTGCAGAAAAGTGAGTGGCCACAGAAAGTATGACACTAAGCAAAGTGACTCAAACCTCGAAAAATCAAACAGAAAACAAGCATCGAATGTTCCCCTCTGGTGAAGATCCTAGCCTGCGATGTACACATGTATATATGGAAACACTGTAAATGTGGGTAGAGCTTAACATAGAAACGTGATGGATAAAGGTGTGACATCAGTGATAGGAAGTACAGAATGCAGGCCTGAAGGATAGAAAGATACTCTGTTCTGGTTTCAGCTGTCATGGTTGTGAGTATGTGTATGTACATGTGTATGTGCATGTGTATATGTATGAGTGTGTGTATGAGTGTGTGTATGAATGTGTATGCACATGTGTATATGCACACATGTGTGTGCCTGTTTGTGTGTGGATGTGCCACCTGTGTGTGTTTGGATGTGTGTACGTTGAGTAAACATGTAACTGGCAGAGAAAGTATAAAGCCATTGCAAAGTTCTGTTGCTTCTAAATGTTCATTTTGTAACTGTGAACAGTCTAGTGAGATGTGTAGAGTTTGGTACTGGGAAAATGTTATTAAGTGGCCACCTTAATTGAGCTGCACAAGTGTTTTTATGTATGAGTTCATCGATTTGGTAAGTGATTTACTTAACAAATAAGAAAGAAACAACATTAAAGAGTGTGGGAAAAAGGGCCGCAGTGATGTCCCAGAGACTTTCCATGCAGCAGGTTCCACAAACAGAAGAAAGTCTAAGGTTCCAAAAGCTGGGAGCTTTGGTTATGGCAGGCCCCAGTGGCACGAGAAAGTCCTTGGTTCCAAAAGGGTTTATTTTCAAGGCGTATGGTAGATGGATCTGGATGTACCCCCCTAAAACTGAGGGCAGATCTGAATTAAATAGGGAGGGAGAAAGAGAGAGGGTCTGGAGAATGGTTAATTGGTTCCACCCTATGGCCTTAATTAATATGTAAATCTCTTTAGAGCCTGTCACACCCTCTACCTGTGCACTTTGGGAGGGGCTGTAATGGCCTACATGACTGAACAACGTAAGTCCATGGAGAATAAACTGCATGTCAGGACCCTGGGTTCTGGGGATGTGGCCAAACACCTGCCATTTCTCCCTTGGAGTCTCAGGGTTCCAGACCCATGCCCAGCCATGAACCAAGATACCCTTATGCAGACCCACAAAAGAGTTATTTTCTTTGAATACTCAGCAGAAGCCAGTATTCTATCATAAATGATCCCTCAGGCATGCACCGACCATTGGGGAAAGTACTGAAGTCATGACCATGCTAATAGGAAGCACTCAAGTACCTTCACTGCAGTGGAGTGCTCTTGAGGATGCACTGTTTGAAATCCTAACACATTCTATCTGATTCCTTTCTAGCATTTGCTGAAGTTGGAGGCTATGAGAGCTTTACAGAGAAGTACATGAATGCCATCCCCTCTATAGTCGAGGGGGACAACCTGACGATCAGCCCCAAGTGCTACACTCCTCAGCCAGACTCCTTCCACATCTTCCGAGATCCTATCACTGGAGACATCCCATGGCCAGGACTGATATTTGGAATGACCATTTTGGCCATCTGGTACTGGTGTGCAGATCAGGTGAGCATAGACATTTGCAGGTGTGACTGTGTTTATTTTTATTTTTCTTGTTTGATGTCAAAGCATCTAGCTTTTTCTATTTTGTGCACATTGACAATATTTAAAGTGTCAGATACTTTTCTATGTCTTGTATATAGAAAACAGATGTCTTGTTCTCTCCTCACCACATTATGTTTTCTCCCCTCAGAGACACATTCGGCTCTTTGATTTAAGTTTTTTTAGACTTCTTTTCTAGTCTCTAAACCACTGTGTTTGGTATATTCCATGGCACATCAGAACTGATATAATTTGCCCTTGGAGTGTCAGAGGAAGTAGCCCTTATAAACTGTTGTTGAGAATGTAAATTAATTCACCACAAAAATACATATAGAGCTTCCTCAAAAAGCTGCAAATACCATATTGGCCACTAGGTGTGTGTGTAGATCCAAAGTCAGTGGACCAGAGATATTTGCACATTCAGATTTACTGTAGCACTGTCCACTATACCCAAGTTATAGAATCTTCCTAGACGTGCAACAGCATATGAATAGAAGAAGAAAATGTCCTGTATACATACAATAAAGTTGTATTCCACTTTTATGAATGAAATTGTCATTTGCAGGAAAGTAGGTTTATAAACTGAAATGTAAGACTCTAACAAGCCTTAGCTTTCCAGGGACCCCCTGAGAGAACAACATGGAGCCAGAGATCAATGCAAAAGCAATAATAATTTTATTGTTCCAGCATGCTGTGGTCATCCTGCATCCAAAAGGAGAGGTGACTACCCAGAGCAGCTCATTTGGTCAGTTTTTATACAGTTTTTAGGTGTAGCATAGAGAAACATTGACTAGGAACAATATGATTAGCAGAACAGTGTGACTTTTAAACTGATTGGTCTTTAGGAAATGAGGTGACAAGGACTTCCCTTGTCTGTGGGTGGCCAATGGTCCGTCCTGTGCAATATGTCCACGTGCTCTGGGCCTCCCCCACCTGCAGGTTGGTCCCCAACCCCTGTGGTCTAAGGAATGTTAATTAGCGTCTCTCTTCCAGAGAGACAAGTGTTCCAAAGTTCCTGAGTTGACCTCTTCACAATATTGAGCAAAATAACCCAGACTCAGAAGGCCAAATATGTTTTCTCTCATATGAAGACCATAAATTTAAATATATGTCATACAGGCATAGAGCTTGAAATTAGAAGCTGGGTAGGATCTCACAGAGTTGTGAGATACTGCTGAGCCTAGAGACTGCAAAGCTAAGTGTGGCCAGCAGAGGGCGTGGGTATGTAAAGGGGAAAAGCTGGAAAGTAAACAGCTCTAGATTCTTTGGTTTTTGTTTTATTATTAATTTGATTATTCACTTTATACCGCAATCACACACACACACACACACACACACACACACACACACACACACACACACAC